AAGAGCAGAATACTCAGAAGCAGGATATTCAGGAGCAGAATACTCAGGAGCAGGATACTCAGGAGCAGGACACTCAGGAGCAGGATAGCAGAATCAGGAGCAGGATACTCAGGAACAGGATAATAGAATCATGATTTACAGTGCAAAGGAAAGTAGGATCCGTGTCAAGTCTGTGTAACTGTAAAGCTCCGTCGGGTAATCCCACCAGTAGCATGGCTTGCTATGCCGGAAAGTCATAGTAAGGAGTCCCACAGGGGTCAAGACAGAAACGAGTCAGTAAACGGTCACTCCTATGCATTTCGGGAGTATGCACTGTGGCGAAAGTGACCTCGCCACTGGTTTTTGGAGGGGCCTGTTTGCCTCCTGGCTTGCGACTATGGCCCTGGGATGTATCGCCCTTCTAGGAACTGATTTGGGCATATTGTATTTTATTTTGCTGCTGCTGGCCTTTTAAGAACCATCTGGGGACATACTGTGGAGTTACTGGGTGGCCACCATTTCATGTATCAGAGGCACATGGTGAGAACAATGGATCGTGGCCATTTTAACTCACAGACACTGTTTTGACTTTTCTACACAGCGCCATCTCGCCGGTTTTGGGGTCCCTGTGATATGTTTTATAATACTGTATCTCTCTGCCTGTGATAATTATATTAACCATTGTGCTCAGTAATCATATCACAGGCAGAGGGGAGGATTTTGTGTGGGAGTGTCTGTGTGTATAGTACCTATTGATTGGTTGTCCTGCAAAACCCTGTGGGCAGTACTATGTTTGTAGAATGTGAATAAAAGAGGCTGTATGTGCCAGTACAGTCAGTTCTTCTTCACCCTCAATCTGAGTCCTGTCTCTTATTGGGGGAATCTGCTACAAGGGATTGCTATGCTCTGCATATACCCTTGCCATAATCACTGAGCTCTTGTAAGAGCTTGTTCCTGTCTTGTTCTCTGAAGGAGTCTACGGTGGTTATGGTGTCGGCTGGAGTGCTTGGAGCTCTCAGGAAGCGCTAGGAGCATCCTTCAACGAAGGTACCCAATCGGGGTGCCAGGTGATCCGTTACATGCACTCACTGCTATTGGGCTTACAGTGTTAAACGAACAAACCAACAAACAACTATGGCACATGAGCTGTGGTGTCCACCAGAATCTCCACTAACAATGGAGACAAGAACTGGTGCCTCCCCCTCCCTCAACCCTTGTGTTATCATTTATAAAAGCCATGTAGATATAACAGCTTAATTATACACATTAATGTCTGTCTGTCTGTCTGTCTTATTGCTAGTAAAGCTAGCCTTGTGCATTAGTTTAACAGGCTGGATTCTATTAATTCCAAGGTCAATAAAATGAGTAAGATTGGATTGGGTGAAAATAACATCTATACCCCATGACATAATTAAATCAATTTAACACTAATACACAGACCCCAACATTGTAATTACTTCTCCTAAAATAACTATGGAACCCACCCACTCATATTTACATTTACTGAAGAGAATTTATTTCCATTTCAGTAGGAACATCACAGTAATTATTCTAGCCATTGATAAATGCGTTAAGCCTTAGTATGTTCACGTATTAAAAACTGTTACTTATAATGGTAAACTCTGGAGCACAACTGAGGTTTTTTCAAGTAATTGTCTCCTTGTAGAATTTGACACTGCATTTATAATAAGACATCATGTAAATATATTCAGCTGTATTTTCTCCTTAGAGGTAGTGTAAGAGTAGCTCAGAGCAGGCAATACAATGTTATTGCATTATAACAGCATTTATGCTTTGATCGATCACTTCATAGTGACACATCTTGGCTTTGGACCTCAAAATTCTAAAACGCTGATGCGACCAATTTGTTTTGATTTATGGAACTTTGGAAATGCTTCTCTTAGGAAAGCGTAAATGTAGTTTGCAATAATTCAAGCTCTAGGGAACCCTCACAAAAATATCACCTGGAAGCTAAACATTTATTCATTGTGTGTGTGCATGTTTCCATGGAAGAACCAGAATTACAATTTGCACCCAAGTCACCTGGAATAAGTTTAAAGATGTTGGTCGTAAGATCTACCATATATAAATGTTATACTGTATGCATACTTGACAGCATCGAGACTAGAATTTCACAAAGCCAACACACTTGTTTAATTCCTCCTGGTCGCACAAACCACTCTGAATGCTGAAATAACCTTGGGCTTTTTAAAAGAAAAATATGATTTATAAAAGTTTTGTATCAAATCGGCCTTGCATTCAGGAAAAGTTATATTGCGTTATTACTAAATGTGTTCTGATGCTATCCTATTCACAATGATAGACACATTTTGTATTGCTTGTATTATTCATTGAGCAGAGCTATCTCTGTGTAAATGGAAGATATACAACCACCCTCACTATAGAATCTGATTATTTTTAAAATATAATGTCAGAGAAATTACTGTGTGATCATTATATAACTTCCAAAACAACCAATCAGGGGGCTTCTGTACTCTTATTCTTGAGAGCCCTTAGCAGTAAACATTTCTTTAAAAAAAACCAGATTGATTCTTGATATTAGAGAACTTTCAAAAAAACCTCTTACATAAAATAATAAATAAATAAATAAAAAATATAACCGGTATTACTAACATTTACTATTACCAAACACTTTCTTTTTTTCTGTCCCATTGGCTTCTGGCTTTTTGGACTGAATTTACTGCAACTGCAAATATCATCATTCTGATGGCATTGGGGTCTTTTAACTAATAGCAAGCCACTGAATTCTTACACTCTGCTTCCCTACACTTTCCATCCGAATCTGCACCCTCCAATTCTTAATGCTTCTATTAGATTTTCCAGCCTTCCTCAGTGTCCCACCATCAACACTTTCACACATTTAAGTCATTAAGTCAAGCTATGTTTATATTCTCCTCATCGTGTTTTGTTCGACTCATGCCTCCCCTCTCCCTCCTCCCCCTGTTAAACTCCTGGGATATCTGCTCAACTAATCCTGTTTTTAAATTCCTTCCTGCAATAAGTCCATCAAAGTACTGAATATTCCCTCCTTTATTTATCCATCTCCATCAATTGTTCTACTTGTCCTATCCATTCCCTCACTTTGCTCACCCTTATTTCCCTAATTTTCTGTTCTATTTCTCGATTCTGCTAATTAGATTAAATAATTTCTCCCCCTTTCTCAGTACAAGGTTTTAATAAATGCCTTCCTTTACGCTCCACAATTAAACTTCATTCTTGAATGTATGTGATCTCTGACCTACCAGTTCTTTTAGCACAACTTACCTGAGCTCATTCGGTCTCTTATTTAGGGCATTGTTCCCATTATCCATTTTACTTGAATCCAGTTCTTTCACCCATACGTTCCACATAGACAAACATTTGACAGCAAACTACTGTACTGCTGATCTCAGTTGCTTTTAACCTAGCAGTGGTATAGGTGACACATTTAAAAAAAATCGTTTTTCATATTTTAGAGCTGCTTCAGTCATCTATCAGTGCTGTAATTGTGAAGTGTAGATGGCATGACAACAGCAATTTAGGTATGTAGTGGTTGGTCTAACAAGGTCACTAAACAGGACAACCGTTCCTATGCCTGAATGCAAGATCAGAACTGTTGCAAGTAACCTGAAAAGGTCTTGAACAAAATTGGTTCAAAAACATCACTTGTGATGCTTGAGTGGTGTCTGAGAGTCCACTTCTTGAATCGTGCCCTAGTATTGACTCACACAAAGCCAATACATTGTTTGATTCTATCCCATAACTCTGCCCTAGACCTTATAACTTCACCCAGTCCTTTTTTATTTTTTATTTTACTTGAGGAACCCGGTTGTCTCTGGTAGTCTGGCTGCACCATTTGTATTTGTACTTGTGCCACCCCTATTTTTCTTTCTACTTTGCTTAGTATTGGATTGAATGATGGATGACACCAGGTTTGGTCGATTTCATAATGAAACATACGGGAAAAATGCTGCAGGAAATCCATCTGCTGTCAAAGCGACAACCTACACAAAACTGATATATTATATTACTACAAGAAGAATGAATGTATTTGTTCCGTAAAAACCTGCAAAACAGAAATTCCTCTGTCTACAGACGCACTCTCAACAATTCATTACAAGCAAGACAAGTGAACAAAAAAAAAATAGAATAAAAAAAACCTCTAAGTAATGTAACAACAATCCTATGGTATCCAAATTACATATGCTTGTATGCTTGGTAATTCACGGATAATAATCATTACTGTCTGTCCATCCCATTGGTAAATGATGTGTTGAGTACTGACTAGTAAAACGTACAAAAATCACATTCTAAACTGTTCCAAACTGGGGACTCCAACTCAACTTTTTCCTTTGAATTCTTACCACAACTCATTGTTTAGTGACATGTTCTGACAAATACATTAAACACAAATCAGATATAAAACACTGCCCTATACATAGGCGTGCGCACGGGGTGTGCCGGGTGTGCCTGGGCACACCCTAATCCCCGTGGCACGCCTATGGTTTGAGTCCTGCAGGAACAGCATTCCTGCACTTTTTTTTGAGCAGGAACGCTGTTCCTGCAGGCACTCAGCGCCCCACTCACCTCTTGCCCCTGTCATGGGGGGGCAAGAGGTGGTGGATTCCCCCCCCCCCCGCGCTCAGCTGATGCCGGGAGCCGGAATATGACGCGCTGAGCTGGAGAGAGGCGCCCGCCCCCACTGGACCCCAAGGAAAAGTCCACCAGCACTCCAGGTAGGAGGCTGGGTGGACATTGTTTTTTATTAAAATATAATAATTTGTTCTTGTGTGTGTGTGTGTGTGTGTGTGTCTGTGTGTTTGTGTGTGTCTGTGAGTGAGTGTCTGTGTGTGAGTATGTCTGTGAGTATGTCTGTGAGTATGTCTGTGTGTCTGTGAATGTGTGTCTGTGAATGTGTGTGAGTGTGTGTGAGTGTGTGTCTGTGTGAATATGTGTCTGTGAGTGTGTGTCTGTCTGTGTATGTGTGAGTGTGTGTCTGTGTGAATGTGTGTGTGTCTGTGAGTGTATGTGTGTGTGTGTATGTACGCATATATATATATATATATATATATATATACACACACACACACACACACACACACACAGAGCCGGCGCTATCTGAGTGCCGGCTCTGCTCTAAGTCTCCATGGGCCGGCGGGGAGACCAAAGATCTACCTCACCGGCCCACAGCAGCATGGAGGGAGGCAGGAGAGGACCCAGGGAGCTCTAGACAGAAGCTCCACCAGGTTCCTCTCGCGATATCTGAGCGTTGCTGCGGCAACGCTCAGATCTCGCGAGAGTTAACTCTAGCCCCACAGGCTAGAGTTCACTCTCCACTGGACCACCAGGGATGGCACATGGCAGCAAGGATTTACTAATCTGCCAAATCCCTCCAAACATACAGCACACACACATACAGCACCTACACACATACAGCTCACACACACACAGTACACTAACCGCACCCTCACAAACACACACAGCACCTTTAAAAAAAACACAACACCCTCACACACAGCACACTAACAGCACCCTCACAAACACACACACAAACAGCACCCTCACAAATACACGACACTCACACAAACAGCACCCTCACAGGACAAACATACACACACAAACACCCTCACACACAAACAGCACAGTCACAAACACACACACACACAAATACCCTCACATCACACTAACAGCACCCTCACACACATCACACTAACAGCACACACAGCAGTGTATGTGTTTGTGTGTGTGTGTATGTATCTATATATATAGATACACACACACACACACACGGCTGGTGTTTGTGCTTTAGGGTGCACACCCTAATGCAATAGGCTGTGCACGCCTATGGCCCTATAGTGTCTTCCCATAGATATGCCTTCCCATTACTAGTTGAAGGAACAAAATCATCTATATTTTCATATTAAAAACAGCACTTTCATTTATGTGAAAAAACAACAACATTTTGCAAGTACGTTTAGTGTACCCCAGGAATATAAAGGGTTTCATTTGCTGTGAAACCTGCCAGATTGGTTCCTTAGTTCTCTGCTATATATCCATACTTGTACACACAGTATCGATTTGAACAATCTTATGTCAGATACCAATTTGTTAAAGGGACACTCTAATTATTATAACCGCATATTGCGCACTGTAGATGTTATGGTGCCAGGAATGTTTGGAACAATTTCAGCACAACAATGTCCAGAAATGAACTCTCCAGTAATCTCATTAAACATGTGTGTGTGCATAAATGTTTTTACATGAGTTCCTGTTTGGGTGTAACCATACAGGCAAAAGCAAACTATTAACAATGAACACAAATCCACATAAATCTATCTCACTTAGTGTGCCTCATGTAATGGGACTTAGAAGATATTTGTAATGCATAAAGGAATGTGTATGGAGTTGATGTTACATAACTATATAGACGTTATAGACCTCGATTTAATCTGGGGGAATACATTTTGTAAATAATAGGATATTTCTGGATTGAGTTTTAAACTGATTTAATATTATATTTTGTAATTTTTCTTTTTATATTTTTAATATGTTTATATTTTCTTTATTTTTATATATATATATATATTTGTGCGAGTAGGCCTGTAATAAAAAGAGGGCCCACAAAAGTGAATTGTAAATATAGATGGGTGTGGGTGGGTGGGGACAAACAACTTGAACGACAAAGGTAAGTAGGGGGGAAGGAGTTTAAATAGGGATCATAACTGATGTGGAATCAATCAATCAATTGATTATCTTGCGTATCTGCCACCGGTCAAATTTAAAAAAGTTGCGTGCACGCTCCTAATGTAATTCACACCAGACACAGGTTTTGGGTTAATGAAAAACTTGAGGAAAGTTTATTCTGGGGGGACGGCATGCCCCTTATAAAGCAAAATTACATCATATGCATTGTCAGAGATAACATGGAATAATACATCAATAATTGGTTAGGTGTTAAGTGGTTCAGTTAATGCTTTGCCTACTGAGGGTGATGTCACTGGTATCTTGGAGGTCTCCCCCTGATTCCAGCGCCATCTTGTTGATGAGGGTGTTAGTCGATGTCAAAGGAAAACTCCCTAGCGGCCATTTTAGGTAAATCAGGCACACAATGACACTCATACACAGAGTCAAACTGACAATCATACAATGACACTCATACACAGAGTCAAACTGACAATGATACAATGACACTCATATACAGAGTCAAACTTACAACAAACTGACAATCATACAATGACACTCATACACAGAGTCAAACTGACAATGATACAATGACACTCATATACAGAGTCAAACTGTCAATCACACAATGACACTCATACACTGAGTCAAACTGACAATGATACAATGACACTCATATACAGAGTCAAACTGACAACAAACTGACAATCATACAATGACACTCATACACAGAGTCAAACTGACAATCATACAATGACACTCATATACAGAGTCAAACTGACAATCATACCATGACAGTCATACACAGAGTCAAACTGACAACAATGACACTGACACCTTAAATTTGAAATTCACTTTAAATTTCCAACAATTTCTCGCTCACTGAATAAGCCTGTAAAAGTCGGTTTTCAAACAGTCTGACCCACTGTGCATGTATTTGGCTGAAG